TCAATTTGAACTATAATTGTAGTTCATTTTATTAATTAGTAGCACTTATTGTGATGACCCGATAGGTCATCTAGAGTTTCAGAACCTAATTTTGTGTTTCGAAGCCTTCGATAGCTTCTTTAAGCCTTTCTCAATTTGCGTGCGTAGTCTGGATGTTTTTTCGGAAGGCTTTTATGTTAAAACTGATAAAATATGAAATTTTGCTTCGAAAATCTATTTGAGTTGACTTTGGTTAATATTTTGAGCAAATGGATCCGGATCCGTATTTTGACGGTCTCGGTGGGTCCGTATCGTGATTTGGGACCTGCGCGTATGCGCAGAATCCAATTTGGAGGTCCCTAGCTCGAGTGGTTAATTTTTGTCGAAAATTGAAATTTACAGGTTTAATGATTTTTCAGAATTGACCGATGTTTGATTTTGCTGATACCGGGTCCGTATTTTGGTTTCGGAGCACGGTACAGGTCCATTTCTATATTTATGACTTGTCTCTCAAATTTGGTGAGAAACTGAATTGGTTTGACGTGATTCAGACGTACGGTGTCCAATCGTAGTTCTAGGCATTATTTTGGTGTTTTGATCGCGAGCGAGTTCATATGAGGTTTTTGGACTTGCGTACATATTTGGTTTGGAGCCGCGAGGGCTCGGGTGAGTTTCAGATAGGCTACGGATGGATTTGATTTAGAAAATATGTTTTTTTTTGTGCTTCAGCTGGTGTCTGGTGTAATGTACTTCGCGATTGCGAAGCCATCACCGCGATCGCGAAGGGGTAACTAGGCAGGGGAGATTTTACTCTATGCGAACCCGAAGGAGTGTACGTGAATGGGAAGTGGAAGGGGGTTGCCCTTCGCGAACGCGGATAGTGTATCGCGAACGCATAACTTAAGAGACCTGGGGGAGGGGAAAGCTGACTATATTCTACGCGAACGCGAGCATTAGCTTGCGAACATGGAGGCCTGGGTGGGACAGCCTTCGTGAACGTTGGGGTTACTCGCGAACGCGTAGGTCTTTTGACTACTTCCTTCTGCGATCGCGTCAGGCTCTTCGCGAACGCGAAGAAGGCCTGACGCCCAGTGGTTAAAACAGACCAATTACGGGATTTTTCCCATTCTTTCAAAATTTCAAAACTAGAAAACCCTAGAGGCGATTTTCCCAAGAGCTTTTCTTCCCCAATTTGTTGGTAAGTGATTCTAATCTACTACATTTCAATTACCCATTACATTTCATAAGATTTTCACCTAAAATCTAAGATTTTCATGGTAGAAATTGAGGGTTTGGGTAGAATTAGGAATTTTTGTAAAATTGGATTTTAGACCTCAAATTGAGCTTGAATTTCGAAATGAATTACATAACCGGGCTCGGGGTGAATAGTAATCGGGTTTTGGTCCGAATTTCGGGTTTTGACCAAGCGGGCCCGAGGTCGATCGTTGACTTTTTGGGGGAAAGTTGGAAAATTCTAAATTTATGCATTGTAATTGATTCCTTTAGCAATATTTGATATTATTGAGTCAATTGTGGCTAGATACGAGTGATTTGGACGCGGATTCTTGGGTAAATGCCCCAGTAGAGCTCTAAATTGACTGCAGAGTGAGGTTAGTGTTGAGTCTAACCTAGACTTGAGGGAATTAGTGACTCTCGGATTATGTGCTATGTGAATTTCATGTGTTGCGGCATATATGCGAGGTGACGAGTGCTTATACACTGCCGAATTACTTGTTTTCCCTGATTTTTCCGCTTTCCTTAATTATCTCCTTTCCTCTCGTAATTGTTATATGCTCTAAATGTTTTCCATGCTTAATTGCTATCTGTAAATCAATGTTTTCTCCTGTTATTGATGTTAGATCTTTTCATAGTTTCATGATACCCTGCTATTTGCTTAAATTGACTTACTTGCACCTTCTAATTGTCAATTACTGGGCTGGTCTCGCTATGTAGTATTACTTATGTGAATTCCCATGTTGTACAAGGTTTCCTTTTTGATTCAGCATTGTATTCATTGATCCTAGAGATCCTTGTGAGTTGAACTATTTATTTGATTGTACTCATTAAGTATTTGGTACTGATACGGTGGGATCGGGTTGCATGCTGCAACAGGTGAAATAAGGGTGGATTTATGTAGTGGAATAAGGGTGAACTTGTATTAATACGGTAGGATCGGGTTACACGCCGAAATATGTGGAATAAGGGTGGATACGGTAGAATAAGGGAGGATTATCATACTAATATTGTTATATGGTGGGATCGGGTTGCACGCCACAATAACCTGTGTGTTTCTATTTCCTTGGATTGTGTTGGTTTTTGGTATTCTCATTTGAAACTCTAAGGATTGGAAATTCTGAACGGCACTGGCTTATTTTTTGAGACTGTAGCTATTGTCTTCAGTTGAAGGTCCTATTTTGTTCCGTATTTCCTTTTCTGCCTTTATTATATACTGCATACAGGTTGTAGTGTAAGTGACCTGCCTTAGCCTCGTCACTACTTCGTCGAGGTTAGGCTCAGCACTTACAGAGTATATGGGGTCGGTTGTATTCATACTACACTCTGCACTTCTTGTGCAGATTTTGGAGTCGGTCCCAGCGACAGCTGTTAGCGTGCTTGGATTGATCAGCTTTGCGGAGACTTAAGGTATAGCTGCTCAGCGCTTGCAGCTCTTGGAGTCCCCCTCCCTTTTATTTAGCCGTGTATTTTCCTTCGGAAAATTTTATATTTATTGCAGACCCTTGTATGTACTGTTCTAGTAGCTCGTGCACTACCGTGTCTAGGAATTTTAACAGACGTTTGGCTGTTTTAGCTTTCACATTTTACTTTGGCTTTCTGCAGTTATTTCAGTTCTTTCTCTTTATTTAATCTAAACTATTAAAAATGGATAGATTGTTCTAACGTTGGCTTGCCTAGCAAGTGAAATGTTAGGCGCCATCGTGGTCCCGGCGGTGGGAATTCAGGGTCGTGACACTTATTGATGAATATCTAAAATAAATTGTAAATAACCTAATATAATATGTTGAATTACACTAAAAGAAAACGGGTGCATGATTACTTTTGTGTTCATGCAGTTTTGGAGAAGATTGTAAAATAAATCCATTATGTTGTTGATATATATAACTTAATTCCTATATAAGAAGCATAAAATTAAAATTGAAGAGTGAAGCAAATTTATTAACTAATGAGTGAGAAAATTATCATAATTTATGAACTTATTGATACAAAATAACCTCACTCAAATAATAATAAAATATAATGCTATACTTTTCTTCATAACAATTATTTATATAAATTATATAATAATAATAATAATAATAATAATAATAATAATAATAATAAGAGTTTAAAGTAAATTTGGGGCCTTCTAATTTTCGGGGCCTAAGGCAATTCCACATGCTATCCCTACAACTTGATTCTAGGTGACGGCGGAAACGTATAGTAGCTAACATTACTGTATTATAAATAGATCAAATATAGTGGTTGCATCACAAACAGTTTAAGACAAATTAGCTAGCCAGAAAACTGTAAGTTAGAAAGATTGAGATAGTTCATATGGAACTCATTAGACCTATTACTCCCACTCCCAATCAGTTAAGATGCTTCAAATTCTCTCTTTTGGATCAAATGGCATTTTCCACTTCTGTTCCTTTAACTCTATTTTATCCATCTCCATCCTCAGCGGGTGATGATCAATCCTATTCATATGAGCAATCAATTCATCAAGATTACTTGTTTGAAGAAATCTTTGTGTGAAACTCTTGCTCGCTTTTACCCTTTTGCAGGACGAATTGAAAAGAACTCAATTAAATGCAATGACGATGGTATACCCTTCTACGAGGCTTTTGCCCATAAATATCGGTTGGAAGACGTTCTTTGAAAGCCCATTGTGGATGTAGATTTTCTTCCCCATGTTGATCAAAAGTGGTCATTGTTCCATCATGCAACTTTTCCACTATTTGTTCGTCACCTTTTTCGAGTGCGGAGGTATTGTTGAACCGTGTGACTATTTATCTAATAACATTAACCGCTAGAGAGAGCATAATATTTATTTAATTATGTCTAAAACATGTTTCTGATCACGTGTGTGTCTAATTCTTTTTTGTTGACCAAGCACGGGCCTGGAAATCGTAATATAGTGGGTGGTGATGAACACTTGTAACCAAGACTTCTGTCTACTTCAAACCATATTGAATTGTGTGATTATTTCATCTAGAAACTGAAGCTTTTAAAAGGAGCACAATTTTATTTAGAATTTCAAGTTCTACTATGCACTAACGGTGAAAAATCTGTTGAAAAAAATTAATGTGTAATATGATAAAAATAGTAACTAAGCTGTTATATCAAAGGTTAAAATTTATTGAAATGGTAAAAAAATTGTTTCGCTCTCAATGTATACAACTAAGTCATTATATCCTTCTATTTAACTAATTATTTCTTCAAATGGTACGGCTATTGATTTATGTGATTCTCACAAAATCGCCAAATTGTGACATGAATAAAGTTAAATGCATTTAAAGGATTCATATGACCGATTTCGATATTTTAGGATTGTGATATTAATATTGTTGTTTTTGTTATATTGAATAAAATCTGAATAAAGCCTATATCTATTGACAAAACAATAATTATGTCTAAATCATGTTCCTAATCACGTGCGTTTCTGATTCTTTATTGTTGGCCAAGCACGTGCCTGCAGATCGTTGTATAGTGGGTGTGGCGACACTTGAAAGAAACGAAGACTTTTACCCACTTTATTTGAACCATATTGAATTGTGTGATTATCTTATCTTGAAACTAAAGCTGTTGGAAGGAGCATGATTTTATTTAGAGTTTAAGTTATACTATGTACTAATGTTAAAAATATATTGATAAACATTAATTGATAATATGATAAAAATAGTAACTAACCTACTATCCAAGGTTAAAATTTATTGATAGTGTAAAAAAAGTCATTACCCTCTCAATGTATATAACTTAGTTGTTAAATCCTTGTATTTAATTAATTATGTCCTTCAACAGGTATGGCTATTGGTGTATGTGCTTCTCACAAAATCGCCGACCGTGCCACGTTGTGCACCCTCATCAAAGCGTGGGCAGTCATTGCTCGAGCCAACCCTAGTAGTTCATGTGTGGACATTCCAGAATTTGTTGGTGCTTCAACATTTTTACCAGAACCTATTCCTCATGTTTCTCCCAACTGGTCTAATATAGTTGAATCATCCAAAGCCTTTGTTGGTAATCAACATGCAACTAAATTTTTTTCCTTTGATGCATCTACTATAGCGTCACTCAAGGCTAACGTCGTAAGCGACGACGCTGTGTCAAAGCCCACACGCGTCGAAGTCGTGTCCGCCGTGATGTGGAAGTGTTTCATGACAATATCAACAAAAACAGGAACATCGTCGCACTTGTTGTACAACGTCAATATACGAAAGCGGATGGTTGTGATTTATCCACCCTTGTTTCTTGTATTAGAAAAGGAATTTCAGAATTGAGTTCCAAATATGTGGATAAATCGAGACATGATGAGGCAATCTTGGCCATTATCCAAGACAACTTGGAACTAGGACTTGCATTTGTTGGAGGGGAGATAGAGTTATACATTAATAGTTGGTGTGGCTACAAATTTTATGATGTTGATTTTGGTTGGGACAAACCTTTATGGGTTAGTCCAATCGACCTGCCAGTCAAGAATTTTATTCTACTGATGGATTCAAGAGATAGCGGTGGAATAGATGTATGGGTGTATTTAAAGGAGAAAGACATGAAAGTTTTTGAGCAAGAGCTTATTGACCAGCTAGCAATTGGATCTGCCAAATAGTTGAAGAACATGTTGTCAAGGGTCGTTATGGGTGTATTTGGTAAGAAGGAATTCTATAAAAAAAAAAAAATTAAGTAATTTTATGATAACTAAAAAATAAAAACTATTTTTCTTGAAAAATATTTTCATTAAAAAGGAAAAAAATAACTTTCTTCGTTTGTGTATTTCTCTGTTAGTCAATTTGAAATAATTTCTAAATGTTAGAGACTGTTCGATAGTATAATAAAGTTTCTTCTGCAATAAAGATCAAAAATATTTTACATCTTACCAAACACACGTTATATCTACTTTGGTTTCTTTTGAGAAATGTGTTCCTTCCACAAGTATACAAGTGCAAGACTTTGGGATATGGACTAAATAAAGTTAGACGCACTTTGAGAATTCATATGTACAATTTCAATAGTTTGGACTTCGGGATTGTGACTAGTGGTGTACATAGGTCGGGTTTGTTCGGATTTTTCAATTATCAAACCAAACTAATTGTCTCGGATGTTTAAATTTATAACCCAAACCAAACCAACAAAAGTCGGGTTTTTCAATCACGATTTTTCTCGGGTTTTTCGGTTTTCTCGGGTTTTTCGGGTTTTTTCCCGACAAAATCTTCATAGCATAAAATTTATAATTTGTGCTCTAATATTTCTTAGGTCCTAGTAGAATAAAACTATATAAGATGTTACCCAATAAAATAATATAAAAATAATATGCGATGAGTCATAATTATACTAAAATACTCAACAAATCGCATAAGATAAATATATCTAATTAATAAGCCATAATAAAAATAAACATAATCTAAAAGTACAAAGTCATGTTAAAAATAAGTGCGACTAATAAGTACTAAGTATTAATTACATAACTAAATAATATTAAAAGTGAATTATGCATTTTCACTATCTAAATCAATGTGAGACTAAAAAAATAAATATCCAATACTATTGTCATTTCTAGTATTAAATTGAATTGTTTTTTTTAGCAGTAGTATTGATTTGATTTTGTTTTGGCTTTATTTGAGTTACTAACTTTTATGGGCTATAAAACATATTTGACCATTCAAAAGTTCTAAGTCCAAGCTTGAAATAATACATTAAAAGGGAGAACTATTAAAGAGTTTAAATTATATTTATAAATTATATTACAATAATTATTTTTATGTATAAAATATTTTTAAAACTTGTATACATGTAATGTCGGGTTGGTTTGGTTTTGGTTTGACTTTTTTTAGTTAAAACCAAACCAAAACAATAATGGTCGGGTTTTTTTTTCTAACACCAAACCAAATCAAATCAAACCATAGTCGGGTTTTTTTTTTCGGTTTGACTCGGATTATCGGTTTGGTGCGGTTTGTCGGTTTTCTTTGTTCACCCCTAATTGTGACACTATTGTTGTTGTTTTTATTGTATTTCAATAAAATCTAAATAAAGCATATATCTATTTGAGCTTTTAAATATGGATTCTCAAAAGGAAAGCCCATATCTATCTATGTCATATTAAATTATATTATAAGTGTAAAGACTTGTCATGACCCAAAACCGTCGTGATGGCGTCTATCGTGGAACTAGGCAAACCAGTATCAACCATTTCAATACAATAAAAGCATTGAAAAATGTACGGAATCAGTTAATATTTTAAGAAAAACCTTTCAAAAACATAAATAAATCAGCAACTTAATACAAATCTCTCCCAAAATCGGGGTGTCGCCTAGTACATGAGCATCTATATAGGGATACAGTCTACTACAATGTCTAAGGACTAAGAACTGAAATACAAGTAAAGATAAAGAAGGAGAGTCAAGGCCTGCCAACACCATGCAGCTACCTCGATAGTCTCCCGAGATCCTGACTCCTCAGTCAGCAGCGCCGTGACCGGAAGCATCTGGATCTGCACACGAGGTGCAGGGTGTAACGTGAGTACAACCAACTCACTAAGTAACAAATCCATCCTTTGGAATGAAAGTAGTGATGAAATCAACCGGCACAGTTCAATATAGAAATAACAGTGCAGAAACATAGGCATGCTTTCAAGTTTAATAAATAACTCAAAATAGTAAAATAGATTAAATTCGAATAATATGAAGAATATAACTCCTCTACATCTACATGCCAATGCACATGCTGTATGTGATGCACCATGCTGACAGCCTCATGTGCTCACACTCTCAAATGCTCAATCACTCAGTACTGTATATGGCCCATACGACCCAGGGAAGATCCACTCGGAATATATATATCACTGACCATCAGTCACCCAGTACTGAGTATGGCCAATCCAGCCCGTGGAGAAGATCCATCTCCAGGTATATAATTCTTCGGACAAGATCCATGTCGAGGGAAGATCTATCCCTCAATAATATCAACCGCGCTCACTGGGCTGTGTGCAGACTCCTGAGGGGCTCCTTCAGCCCAAGCGCTATCAGAAATCGGTATAACCGCTGCGTCGTGCAGCCCGATTCCATAAATATCACTCATAATCAGGCCCTCGGCCTCGCTCAGTCATCAATATCTCCAGTCTCTCTCATAGGCTCACAGTGTCATGAAACTAGCCCGAACATGATGATATGGTGTATCAATAAATAATAATAGAGGTTGAGATATGATATATAATGAATGAATATGACTGAGTACGAAATATAAATGAAATCAGTATGTCAACAACAAGAAACAACCACTATGGGTCCCAACAGTACCAGCATATAGCCTAAACAAGATCTCTAGCATGATTGACAACTCAATTACTTTATCACATGGTGAAAATACGGATATCAACAAGATAGGACCACTATACAGTGCCATGAAATTTACCTGGTCACAATTCTAACGGTGCACGCCCACACGCCCGTCACCTGGCATGTGCGTCACCTCAACACCAATCATATAACACATAATTTGGGGTTTCGAACCCTCAGAACCAAGTTTAGAAGTATTACTTACCTCAATCCGAGCAAAACTCTACTCCAACACGCCTTTGCCTTGCAAATCGCCCTCCAAATGACCCGAATCTAGCCACAAGCAGTACAATACAATCAATACGGGCTAAAGAAATCAATTCTACAAGAAATTACGAAGTTATAGCTCAAAATCCAAAATTGACTCAAACCCAGCCCTTGGGCCCACGTCTCCAAATTCGAAAAAAAGTCCCAAAATCCGACAGACCATTCAACCACGAGCCTAACCAAACCAAATTCACTCAAATCCGATAAGAAAATCCCATTCAATACCTCAAAAATCTAGCCCATGAACTCTTCCTCATTTCCCCCAATTTTCTACCCCAAATGTCACGAACCATATTCCATTATAGGTCGTAATGGCGCCCAACACCGTTGTTAGGCAAGCCAACACTGATCAACTAATGCGTTCCCAATGATTCTATTAAAAATTCCAACATTTAATTTAACTTATAATTAAAGCATTCGATAAATATCGGATTTTTATAACAACTGAAACGGAAACAACTAAAGAAAATCATAATTACAGGAATACAACCCCAAAAATCAAGTCTACTACTATGTGCCAAGATTTAGTGTCACATGTATGTGGGCAACTAGTAGAATATACAAAAGATGACTATCCTACTATCTGAAATAGAGTAGACAACTATAAGCAAAAGAGAAACTCCGGCATGCTGCTGAATGGCTAGAAAGGGGCAGCATGTAAGTCTCAGTCCGAATCAAGTATGCGCGCCTGGTGGATAACTAGATGCGCCTGCCTCAGATCCTGTACAATTAAGTGCAGAAGCATATTATGAGTACATAAATAATATGTACCTAGTAAGTAGTGACGAGGGGTCGACTTGACACTTACTAGGGCCAACAATAATATAATTAAAGTGTTATGCTAAGAAGGGATATCATAAAAAAAATACCGACAGTAAATATCAGGAAGTGACAAGTTCTTCTTTCATAAATATAATGTCAATTTCAGTCATATCATTTAACAATTCATATTCAAGGCATTAAAGCAATACAAATCATTGAAAGTTCCAAATAAATAGCATGCACAAGTTATGCCGAGGTCGTACCGCCCGATCCAACATAATAATAAAATATGCACTGTCGGAGGGTCGAATGGCGCGAACCATAGATGCATCAATTTACCCCGCTCGCAAATCATTCATGCGACGCGGTCAAATATAAATTTAATCATTTAAATGAAATTCTTTCTTCAATATTTTTCTTTAAGAAAAAGGCAATTCAACTTGAAGCTTTAAATCCTTAGAAATTCTCCACTTAATTCCAATTATTACAAATAGCAAGTATCATCGAATACGGTGTTCACAAAGCATGGTGTAAACCTAAACTACCTGGACATAATAGGAATATTAGCTACGTACGGTCTCTCGTCACTTCGTGTGTACGTAGCCCTCCCCCCCCCCCCCGAATTACTCATATTTATAATCAAATTCACCTATGGGGAAATTTTCCTCTTACAAGGTTAGAAAGGAGACTTACCTCATCTCAATCCTACTTCCAAATTCAAGAACGCACCCAAATCTCCAAACTTGACGCCGAACGACTCAAAACTAGTCAAATATTACATAAACTAATCAATCTATGCTCAAAAGTTCACAATTCCCCCATTTAAGTGATTACCCAACCTAAATTGCAAGATTCATAAAATTCACCCCCGGGCCCACATGCTCGGATTCCGAAAATTTTTAAAGGAAGTTGTTACCCATAACCTAAGGAACATCAATATATGATTTCTACTAAATTCCATAACAAATTTCATGGTTAAATCTCATTTTTAGCGAAACCCTAAGTTTTCACCTAAACCCATAATTTCCACTAATTTACATGTTTATTTAACTCACATTGTGTGGAAATTACTTATCTCTAAGTCCTAAGTGAAATCCCCTCTCTAAGAGCTCCAAAATCGCACCATAATCGAAGAAAATGAGCTAAAAATGGCCTAAGCCCCGTTTTTACAAGTCACTGCCCAGATCAGCCTTCTTCGCGATCGCAGAAGAGGCATCGCGATTGCGAAGGCAACGGTCCAGGCCCAGGG